TGGCTGCCGTGCTGTGCCCACAGCAGGTGTCTCGCAGCAGATGGGACACATGTATCCTAGTATACTGACCAAGGGTGGCAGGTGTGGGGCACGCAGTTGAGCTTTTACCTCAGCATGCTGGGAGGGTCAGCGTTAGAGCATGCATCAGCGTGTGGGCAAGACGCGGAGCTGGGGTGCACACAAACCAGAGTGTTGCCCAGGTCAGAACCGATACTCTGGGAATGCTGCTGGCTGCCACTGACATGCTGGCACAAGCTTGTGCTGGGCCTCCACCACATGGTGTGAAGGTGCAGGGAAAACGTGGGCTTTTGTGCACGTGGGAAGGGGCTCTGAGAGAGGGGTGTTGCAGTGCCCTCAGGTTTAGCATAGGGCAGTTGATGGACACTGCTGCTGAAAGCCCTCTGGCATTGGTGCTGGCTCACAGCTGGCTCCTGAGGGCTGTCCAGACATCTGCAGAAGCCAGCACATTGTTCAGTGAAGTCTCCTCTCCTTGGCACATCTCTGCTCCCTGTCTCCTGCTGTGTCTCCGTTTAGAAAACCCTTTCCCACAGGGTGCACTTTACACTGGTTTCATTTTCCAACGCAGCGCAAACAAATTTCTGCCTAATTGCCCAGACGAATAAAGTGCACATCAGTGCTTTAAAGGTGATGGGATGAATGGATGATGATCCAGGACACAGCTGCGGCTCATTGCTCAGGCTCTGTGCCATCTGCTGCATATTCACCCTCCCAACATTTGGCTGCTGCTGTGATTCATGCACCCCCTTTTCCTACCCATCTTCTGCAGAACCATCCGTTTGTCTGTCCAGCCATGCGTTCCTCTATCTGTCCCTGCTGTCTCAATGGTCACGCTGCATGGGAAAGGAAGCTCCTGGTCTGCACTGGAGCCCGGGCAAACCTCTCTCCAAGCGGGTGACACAGCACAGCTGCTACTTGATGAGCCTGGCTGACAGGAATCGGCTGGCATAGCAGTCTCGGCTGCGGGGCTCTGCATGGGCCGTCCTCACCCCTGCGCCCATCTGACCGTCTCTTCCTTTCCTAGTGCTGGTCCTTCTGATCCTCACGCTGAAGCGACACCACAAAAGCCACCTGACATCCGAGGATGACGAGGACATGAGGGATAATGTCATCAAATACAATGATGAAGGAGGTGGCGAGCAGGACACAGAGGCCTATGACATGTCAGCCCTGCGCAGTCTCTACGACTTCAGTGAGATCAAAGGCGGTGATGGAAGTGGGGCACTGGGGGAGGGGGGCCCGAGCAGAAACCCGTCCTCCGAGCTCCACGCCCTCCCGCAGTGGATGCAGAGCCCAGACCTGGACTTCTCTGTGTTCAGAGACTATATCTGCAGGAAGGTGGAGCAGGCGGACGTGGACCTCTCTGTGCCGCCCTACGACTCGTTCCAGACCTACGCCTTCGAGGGCTCGGACTCCCCCGTGCCCTCCCTGAGCTCCATCAACACCTGGTCCAGCGGCTCGGAGCAGGACTTCTCCTACCTGGGGGGCTGGGGGCCGCGTTTCCGGCAGCTGGCAGCACTCTACGCTGGGCGCAGGGGCGAGGAGGGCAGCGAGGATTCCTAGCTCTCCCATCAACTCCCCGACAGGCTCCCGGTGCCTCCTGGACCAGGGCTCCATGCCGTGAGAGCGTGCACCTCTGGCCGGGCTCTGCAGCTGCCCGAGAGGGGCTGCACTGTGGGGCAGGGGAGTGCCAGGCCGCGTGCCCCTCGGCAGCTGCCTCCTGTTTGGGTCACCTCTGCACCCGCATGGCGAGGCTGGAGTGCCCAAAGGAGCCGCTGTCATCATCTCCTTAATACCAGTCTCTATTAAAACACTACGCATTAATTTACGAAAGAGAAAATCTAATTCAAGAGAGTTTGGAGGGCGTTTCTCCCCCACAAATTATCATTTAAATAGATCTGTTCAGTGAGCCCAGTTCAGGAGAGGAAGAGCAAACCGGGAGCCTTTTGTTGTCTAAATTGTTTTTGTCACTTGAGTCAGAGCATTTGAAGTGCTTTGATTTCTTTAAGAGCTTTCCTTGCAGAGGGAAACAAGCTTTTAACTTCTGTTCAGCTTTTTCCCCCTTACATTCGTTCGCTTTTTGGCGTCCTTCTCTCTGCGCGTGGGCTCCTCTGCAGTGCCCGGCTGTTGGAGGGAGCGTGCCGCACTAGGGACACACGTGCTGGATGCGGGATCCAAGGTCATGTCCTGCATGGAGCGACCGCTGCACTAGAGTTCACTTCAAAACACACTTTGCCTCTAAGCTTTAATTGCTTTGCCTCTCAGTTCTTAGACCTTTCTTGTAGTTATCAAAGATGCCTGTGATTTGAAGGGGCTCTCTCCCTCCCTGCACAGTGGATGTTGCCTGCGAGGTCCTGACGTGCCCCACAGCCCCCGTGACAGATGGAGACGTTCTGCCCGCCGCTGAGGCACGGTGCTGTGGCCTGAGCCGCAGAGCAGCCTAGGTGCTGGGCAGCGCTGTCAGAGGGGCATGGAGCGGTGCTCCTGGGTTGGCTCTGCCAGCCCCTCGGGGCAGAGTGGGCCTGGGTCTGCAGGGCTCTCAGCCAAGCACTAGCTTTCTACCAAATGGCATGGGTTGTGCAAGGCAGAAGGCAGGACATCGGTGCACCCTGGCTTTCAGCGGTGGGGGAGAGCTGCATCCTGGCTACAGGACTGTGCTGGAGGGTGTGAGAGAACCCCAATTCCCTGGTTTGGAGGGATAATTCCTGCTTACACCCAGCTGACAGCAAAGCATCACCACTGCCGATAGAAAAGCCATCCCCAGGACATGTGCATAAGGCCAGATCCTGCTGGCACTGCTGTGCAGCCGAGCTGGTTGCCACAGGCTGGCAGTGGGTCTGTGATACCTCGGGGTGCCCAGCGTGTCTCCACCCCAGTACAGTGTCCTGCAAGAAACGGGCATGAGCTCCCGTAGTGGGACCACCTTTGCACAAAATCCCTAGTTTCACAGAGGAGGCCGGTGGGATGTGCCATTGCTCCTCAGGCTGCAGATGATGCTGGAGGAAAGCAAGCGCTCAGTGCCCTGTGCCTTTCCAGCCTGCTGACTTCCCCTGGGGTAAACTGAGCAGTGCGCTAAGCAATGCCCTCAGGCAGCTTCTCAGGCCGTGCTGGCTAGTGCGGCTCCTTATCTGTTCATGTTGGAAAAAAAATCAATTATGTCATTGATAGGTAAGTGATAAGGTCTCCCAAGGCCTGACGCATCCTGGGCTTATCATTGCATTTGTCCTTTTAGTTTAGCCACAGGCAGTGTTTTCTCTCCTTGGAGAAAGTTTAACTGTAAATGTACATGCGTGTTCATTTTTTACTGTGTTTTGCTTCCCGGCTGCTGGTGTTGGTCTTCTGGCTGCAGTGCGAGACCTGACAGCGGAGAGAGGCAGGACGCGTCTTTGCCAC